TTTTTAGTAGGAAAAAACCCGAAAACCTAAACCCTACGAATGATACAGAAAGCGATCAACTTAGGGGATCAAGATAATGTCCGAGAAACTAAAATAAAATGTCCATCTTGACCCACAGCTCAGAGAGGAGATACCTATTTCCTTTTTGGTCCGTTCTAAAAAAAATGACCCCTTTCTAAATTTGGAAATAATTTAGCTTAAACTTCCAATTCTATCCTTAATGAGAAGTTTTTATAACCATACAAATATTCTAGGCCCCATTTTAACTTATTTAGGACCACAAATTCCAAAAGTCTTTATTTTTTCTTAAACTCCAAGCTCTGTCAAACAGGTTCACATAAATTGGAACAGAGGGAGTACATTTTAGCATTTAATGTATTACGTGTCTTATTAAAAACTATTAAAAGAAATCAAAAATTTATAGTATATAACAACAAGTCAATAAACGACAAAGGCCCAAAGCAAAATCCCTAAAACCTAAACTACACTCTTACCTCCTCTCTCCAGCCGCCCCCTCATCCCCACTTTTGTATTTTTTTCTTCAACCACGGCTAAACTAAGAAGACCGGGAATGACAAAGAAGAGCGAGAGAGAACCCAATCACTTCTCTATTCTCGTATAGAAGTGGTAAGATCATATCTCTATATTTTAGGGCTTGTAAATCTTTTTATACCTATTTTATTTGGATTTTTGGGTACAATTTTGTGGACTATTCCAGCAATTTGATAGATCTTATATCTTATTTTTGATAAGTAGTGATTGAGAAATTTAACAGAAAAGCAATATTACAAAATTAGGATGAAGATAATTTAAGTTGTTTAAAAAATGCTCAGAATTTTCTTTTTCACTTCTTTTGTTGCTGTGTATTTTCTCCTTTTGTTATCTGTTAGAAATTCTTGTAAAATATTTATCCAGACATGTTTTTTGTCTGCTTGAAATATTCTATCAATATTTTTACTAATTGAACTTACATCTTTGTATTAAAGTTTTAACTCAGTTGTATCTGTTAAACATATATGATTCGTTATTTTTGCTTTGTGGTGTTAAACATATTCTTCCATTGACAGGTAGATTGGCGGAGTTAAAGCAATGAGAAGTCAAAGACCAAGATAAGGTGCAGTTGAAGACCCGAGGAGGAGTGAAAGAAGAAGACAGCGTCTCAAGCAAGATGGTGTTGCAGAAAAATTGTGCATCGTGATTGCTTTGAAATTTTCAATCATGTGTAACTTGAAACCTATTGTGGAATGTAAATTCTTTTTATTCGTAGCTATGTGTAACTTTGAATTTGTTTTGGAATCTAAATGGAATTTTAGCTATTATAAAATTTATTGTGACTAGTTATTCTTGTAGCAAATTCTTTAATTTGTGGCAATAAAGTTTGAATTGGTGGCTATATATATATATAATTATAATTATCACGTAACAAAAATATAATTATACATTCTCACTTTCATAGCAAATGAAGACATTTTTAGCTGTAATTTTACATATTTTACAAATATAATTATACAAATATAATTATACATTCTCACTTTCATGGCAAGAGAATGGATTCTTAGCTACGGAAATATTTGTGGCAAATACTTCAATTCACAGCTATGAATTTTTGCCACGGTAAAACACCTCGTGGCACAATATAATGATTGCTATATATTTTATTTGCCGTGGCAAAAGACTAAGATTATTTGCTATGAGTTTATATTTCGTCGCAAAAAAGTATTATCAATATAGCTCAATGCAGAAAACATTTGTAGCAATAAGTATTAGTCCTTAGCCACGGATCATATATAGTCTGTAGCTAACTTTTAGCTACGCTACATTTTGCTACGGATGCTACGGAAAAAAATATTGCGGCTAAAGCTTTTAGCTACGAAAATTTTCATATTTAGCTATCATGTATTTTGTAGCTACATATGCAAAATGTTGTAGTGGGTGTTATCTCTCAGCTTCACTTTACAAGATTGGTGATTACTGATTGCTGGAGAACTTCATATTATCAAAAGGGACCAACCAGGGTCGGAGCTAGAAGCCCGGCTACAGGTTCAGTCGAACCTAATAGCTTTTACTCAAATAATGTATTTGTGTAGAAACAGATGCAGTAACATAACAAGAGGGAGGAAAGTTGTTAGTTAGATAGTTAGTGTACAGCTGTCATACTCAGTTATTAGAAATAGTGTAGGGACCACTAGTCTGTGAGTGGAAGTTAATTAAGTATACATGTATAAAAATACAATGTACTGTTACATTGAAAATACACAGAACAAATTTCTCTCATTTTCTTCTTCTTCTTCCTCAGCTCATTCTCTGCTCATGCTTCCTCCATTACTAGGGTTCTTCATCTCAAGCATTCTCTGAGTTCTAACATGGTATCAGAGCTCGAGCTATGAATTGAAGCTCACAAATCGATCCAGATTTGTAATTCTCGTCCTCTCTCAAGTTTCTTCTTCGTATCTCAAATCTGAAGCTTTAAGTCGTCGTCAACAATGGCGAATGACAATTCTGAGCAGGAAACACCTGCAACTGTAACTGAAACCTCGCAAACCTCGTCGGAGGATGAATTTGAAGAAGGAATCTCAGTTCCAATCACTCATCCTCTGTATCTGGCTTCCATATACGAGTGGAGTTTCTCTGATTTCCTTTCAACTAACATGGACAGACAACTTCTCGTTGTGGTATCAATCTATGAAAATTGCTCTTCTAGGCCGAAATAAGCTCGGAATGGTTGACGGAAGGTGGAATAAGGAAAAATTTCGAGAAAAGTACTGGTATCAGTAGGAAAGATGCAATGCAATTGTCTTATCGTGGCTGATGAATGCTGTAGCACCGACTTTGATCAGCGGAATTGCATATACAACCAATGCACACACCGTGTGGATGGATCTGCAAGAGCGTTTTGACAAGGTGAATGACACTAGATGCTATAACCTACACAAGGAAATTGCAACCCTAACTCAAGGTATCTCCTCTATATCTATGTACTATTCTAAACTCAAGGATCTATGGGATGAAACTGAAGATCTAATTCCTCATCCTGGTTGTGACTGCCCTAAAACTAAGAAATTTATTGAACACCTTCACAAACAGAAGCTATATCAGTTTCTTACGGGATTAAATGACTCATACTCACAAGCTCATAGTCAAATCCTTATGATGAAACCCGTTCCCTCTGTGAATCAAGTTTATGCTATGTTAATGAGTGAAGAGAGTCAAAGAAATGTAGCAGGATCAGCAGGTATCTTAGGTTCTGCACCTAATGTCACTGGAGGACATTATGAATCTACAGCACTATACAGCTCTAAGCCTGATAATAGACCAAAATACAGAAAGAATTTCAATCTATATTGTGACTTCTGTAAACTAAAAGGTCAGAGTAAGGAGAATTGCTACAAAATAGTTGGTTATCCAACTGACTACAAGTTTAAGAAGAAAGGGGGAGCTGGTGCTTACAATGTAGTAGCTGATTATGGTTCAACATCTGGCAATTACAATGCACCACCTGAGCTAAGCCCTACACACAGCCTTGTGGACAGCCAAACCCTGGCTTTCAGATGACTACTATGCAGCCAAGATTTGTTCAACCCTTGCAGCACAACAATCACACTGCAAATATGGAACAACAACCACAACATGGAGGAGGTAGTGCCTTTCCCTTCACCAAGGAACAATATGACCAGATTATGCAAATTTTGAATAGCAATACAGTCAGTCCTACCTCATCAAACAACAACAGTCCTTCACCTACTTCTCAAGCTAATGCAGCAGGTACTAATGTTGCTTTACTAGCTTCCAATAGTCCACAAGAATGGATCATTGATACAGGAGTAACTAATCACATGGTGTCTAATGTCAATCTGTTAGATAAGGCCACTATAATTGCTCCTCCTATCCCTAGAAAGGTTCTCTTGCCAAATGGAGATGTCACTCAAGTAACTCATGTTGGAGATAGTCAGATATCAAACAACAACACACTAAAAGAAGTATTTTATGTACCAAAGTTCAAGTATAACCTGTTGTCAGTGTTAAAAATGACAAGGGATCTAAGGTGTTTTGCCTCTTTCTATCCTGATTTTTGTGTGTTTCAGGATCTCTTCAATGGCAGGGTGAAGGAGATTGGTAGAGAAAGAGATGGTTTGTACTTTCTACAACAACATGGAAATAAGAGATTGCTGTTGTGTCCTTGGCAGCTGTTACCTCAAAGGCTGATCTCTCAGTCAGTCCCAATGATATAGTCTTATGGCACAGGAGACTTGGTCATGTGTCCATTATTGTTCTGAAGAAACTATTCCCTGTTAAACTAGCTAGTATTACTAATGCCATCAATAGTTGTTGTGTGTGTCCTTGAGCTAAACTAACCAGGACACCATTTCCTCACATTAGTATCAAGGGTACTAGTGCATTTGATCTAATTCATGTAGATGTTTGGGGACCTTATAAAACTGCAACTTTTGATGGTCATAGATACTTTCTCACAGTAGTTGATGACTTACTAGAATGACTTGGGTTTTCTTACTGAAACTGAAATCTGATGTGTGTGTTGTACTGCCACAGTTCCTTGCCTTTGTTCATACACATTTCAATAAAATAGTAAAAATGGTGAGATCTGACAATGGCTCTGAGTTTCTAAATTCAGTGTGTAAAACTGTCTTCAATAAGCTTGGTATTCTACATCAAACCACCTATGCATACACTCCTCAGCAGAATGGGGTAGCTGAGAGAAAGCACAGACATCTCCTAGAAATCACCAGAGCTTTGAGGTTTCAAGCTTACATTCCAATCAAGTTCTGGGGTCATTGTGTTATCACTGCAGCTTACTTGATCAACAGACTACCATCTTCAGTGTTGAAGGGGTGTTCACCTTATGAGTTGTTGTACAAGAGGAAGCCTCAGCTAGGACACCTTAGGACTCTAGGCTGTTTGTGTTTTGCTAAGCAAGTGCAGGAGACAGACAAACTTATGCCTAGGGCCAAGCCTGCTGTTCTCATGGGATTCTCAAACACTCAAAAATGCTATATTCTCTTAGATATTTCTACACAACAATTCTTTGTCAATAGAGATGTTGTCTTCCAGGAGAATGTATTTCCATTCAAGGACTCTCTGCACGCCTCTCCTCCTATATTCAAATCACTTCCTTCACCTCCTAGTTATGAAGAGGTGTACACAGATATATGTCCCTCTCATCACATAAACCCCTTTACTTCTTCTTCTAGTGATCCTGAGTCTTTGTCTATTGCTCCTGAGCCTTGTCCCACACTGAGAAGGTCACTCAGAACCAAACATCCTCCACTATGGCTTAAGGACTTTGTCACTCAACCCTCTACCACTCCTACACCATATTCCATAGACAACTATGTCTCTTATGACTCTCTTTCTCCTTCTTATCAGTCCTATAGTGCAGCCTTCTCATCCATTGTGGAACTCTCTTCTTATGAAGAGGCTGTTCAAGACCCAAGGTGGGTGGAGGCTATGAAATCAGAAATAGCAGCCTTGGAAGCTAATCACACTTGGGAGGTTGTCTCACTTCCTCCAGGCAAGATGCCTATTGGTTGCAAATGGATCCTTAAACTGAAATACAAGGCTATAGGGGAGGTTGAAAGGCTTAAAGCCAGATTGGTGGCCAAGGGGTTCAGCCAGCAGGAAGGTATTGATTATCAAGAGACCTTCAGTCTAGTTGTTAAGATGGTTAATTACTGTTAGGACCATACTTTCTGTTGCAACTTCTGAACATTGGCATATCCACCAAATGGATGTGTACAATGCTTTCCTACAAGGAGATTTGCCTGATGAAATCTATATGACTCTTCCTCAGGGCTTTCAGAGTCAGGGGGAGAGTAGGCCAGCTTGCAGACTCTTGAAATCCTTGTATGGTCTCAAACAAGCACCCAGTCAGTGGAATGCCAAGTTATCAGAGGCACTGATTAGCTTTGGTTTCATACAGAGTCAACATGATCACTCCTTGTTTGTACAAGGCACTAGCAGCTGCATTGTGGTTATATTAGTCTATGTGGATGATATGCTCATCACAGGACCTGATTTGAGACTAGTAGAAAAAACCAAGGCTACACTCCAGAAGACTTTTAAGATGAAGGACCTAGGGGAGTTGAAATACTTCCTTGGGATAGAGTTTGCAAGATCATCACAGGGTATTCTAATGCATCAAAGAAAATATGCATTAGAACTTGTGTCTGAACTTGGCTTAGGTGCTGCAAAGCCAGCTGCTACACCTCTTGAAGCAAATGGGAAACTCACTACTCAACAGTATGATGAACACACAGGCACAACCAACACCTTGGATGATGCACTATTACCAGATGTAACTAGCTATCAAAGGCTACTGGGCAAACTCCTATATCTGATAGTAACAAGGCTAGACATTGCATTTAGTTGTCAAACTCTTAGCCAGTTTATGCAAAAGCCTAAGAAATCTCATATGGAGGCAGCACTCAGGGTGGTCAAGTATGTGAAGAATGACCCTAGGCAAGGTGTGCTTCTATCTAGTCAGAAGAGAAGTGTTATCTCAGCTTTCTGTGATGCTGATTGGGTAGCATGCCCATTGACTAGGAAGTCTGTATCTGGATTTTTTATAAAGTATGAGGACTCACTGATATCATGGAAGTCAAAGAAGCAAAGCACTATCTCTAGAAGTTCTGCAGAGTCAGAGTACAGAAGTATTGCAACAACAGTGGCTGAACTAGTGTGGATATTTGGATTACTCAAGGACATTGGAGTGGTGTTTGAATCGCCGGCTACTATCTTCACTGACAGTAAAGTAGCCATACAAATAGCTGCTAATCCCGTCTTTCATGGAAGGAACAAACACATAGAGATTGATTGCCACTTCATAAGACAAAAGATTCAGCAGGGACTAATCAAGACAGAGTATGTGAGAACCAAAGAACAGTTGGCAGATGTGCTAACTAAAGGACTGCCTAGAGCTCAACATGAGTACTTAGTGTCCAAGCTAGGATTGCTGAATATTTTTACACCACCTAGCTTGAGGGGGAGTGTAGAAACAGATGCAGTAACATAACAAGAGGGAGGAAAGTTATTAGTTAGATAGTTAGTGTACAACTGTCATACTCAGTTATTAGAAATAGTGTAGGAACCACTAGTCTGTGAGTGGAAGTTAATTAAGTATACATGTATAAAAATACAATGTACTGTTACATTGAAAATACACGGAACAAATTTCTCTCATTTTCTTCTTCTTCTTCCTCAGCTCATTCTCTGCTCATGCTTCCTCTATTACTAGGGTTCTTCATCTCAAGCATTCTCTGAGTTCTAACAATTTGTATTAACAGTTTTATTAAATATGTACAAATATTAAATTTAAAATCCAATTATAATTAGCACTTGAAATCGTCATTCTAAAATTCAAAACCTATATATAAGTAGAAAAGTGGGTGGCATATAGTCTTATTGGTTTGGTTTATGAAAATGAACTTGTACCACATTCTGTTATTTTGTAGTTGTCAATTATCATCGTCTCTATCTAATACTACATGTTTTGTTATATTCAACATGGAAGAGGGACCTCCTTCCCCTGCACTTTTGCCTTCGTGTCGTTGGCGCATTAGAGGAACCATCACGGGGCAAAGCACAAAACGTTCGCCGCTTCGAACATGCAGCTGTAGCTCTTCGCCAATAAATGAGTTCAACTTTATTAGAGGCGGATCCATGATTTAAATTCTATGAGTTCGATTTTAAGATTTTTAACATTGAACCTATTATATTTTTAAAGTTACAGGTTCATATCTACTATTTTGTAATTTTAATGAATTTTTGTATATAAATTTTTACTCCACGCCGAAAGTTATGGGTTCAGTTGAACCCGTAGGCAGTATACTACATCCGCCTCTGATCGTAATGCTTATAATTTTAAATGAAACTTTACAATCGAAGAATTGAGATATTATCAGCGTTCCACTTATCTTTTTATTAAGCACATTGAGTTTAATACAGAGACGTTGGTCAATGCACAATGAGACCTAAGGATATAAGTTTTTTTTTTGTTTTGGTCAATCAAAGATGCATATATTATATATTAAGGAGTAGTACAAGGAGCATAATGTGGTACAGAGTTACACAAAAATCGTTGTGCACTGATGCTTACTTCTAGCGGAGTTGTACTATGTATACATATAATTGTTACATTGTAAGTGCAATTTAACCATTTATGATATCTCATTACTCTATTTTCGGATTATTATATCAAGCTATTTTTTTTTAAAGAATCACTTATGTATCAGTTTAACATAGTGCAAAAAATTTATATGTTGGTCATTGCACAAAATTTAATATTCCACAGGCAAGTTTAAGTGAGGATGGAATTGTTTGTGCATTGTGCTAGTCGTTTTCTCCCGATGAAAGTCTTGGTCACTCCATGAAATGACTTATAGACTTGGCATAAGTCATTCGGCAAGGTGGGGGTGTGGGATGGGGGGTGGGTGGGGGAGGGGGGAGCAGTGTTCCAAAATATCTTCCATCTATTCATTCCTAAACTTAACATTTGCGTCATTAATAAAGATTTTATCCGCTTCGAGTATTTGCATTAATTAATTGTATTAGTTTATCATGATTAAGTAATTTAATAAAGTAATAATATATATCAATTAACCATAGTTGAGTGAAAACGTTTGTTTTCAATCACATATCATATACTCCTTCCGTTTTGGTCTGTTCCAGAAAGAATGATCCCTTTCTAAATTTGTGAACAATTTAGCTTCACTTCCCAATTCTATCCTTAATGAGAAACTTTTATAACCACATAAATACTGTGAACCCCTTTTTGAGTTGTTTAGGACCATAAATTCCAAAAATCTTTATTTTTTTCTTAAACTCTGTGCCCAATCAAACAAGTTCACATAAATTAAAACGGATGGAGTATTTTTTAATTTGCGGTAAATATTCTATGATGATGTACTTTTACCGTACTACTATGCTAAAAAAAGAAACAGGTTGCTGACTTATTTGACACTTGAAGAGTGAAGAAGACTATATTGTACTCGAGTTTGGTACATTAGTTTTTAAGAAACCGCCAGACTGAATCTGTTCTACTTATGTTAAAAGAAACTTGGTTATATGCATTTGATGACAAATTCAAACAGCAATTTATGGGAAGGCTTCATTGCACTTTTGTACACAGCCTTGGGTTCACTTTCCAGCAGCATGACCATTCCTTCTTTTTCCAGATCCTTTAGGAGTCTACGCTTCAAAATAGTCCTTTTGCCAAATTTGGTCAGTGTCCACTTCACTGTCTGATCCATCCTCCTCTTCTTCACTCGAATACTCTTCTTCAGCAAAGCTTACTTGTTCAGGTTTCACTGCATGTCACGACCCATTTTCTGAACAAGCCAGGACAGGCACTTGATCACTAAACATGACCGAGCGAACCATCTCTGCTTATCAAATCTATTATGATTCCAAACTTTATATGCAACAAGGCAATACTCTAACCAAATACTTTTGATTAATTTAAATATTTAAATAAATCAACTCCAAAACTTTATTCGTAGTAATTACTGCTAAGTTATTATCAAAAACATCCGAATCTTAACCCAACGACTATGTCTATGAAGCCTCTACGAATAAACTGACGCACTACTCAGGACATGAGATTTCCTGGCCAGTTCTCTAAGTAAATAAAGAAATAACTAAATAAAGATAACTCTAAGGAATACTCCACGAACAAAAGCGGAGCTCACCAATAGCACTGGAAGAGAAGGAAGTTATAACCCGTAGCCTGCTCGCCTGCAAAACCGGTTCCTACGTTGTACCGCAGATCAACGTAGGTTCCCAAAAGAGAACGTCAGTACCATCCATTGTACTCAGTGAGTCTCAACAACAGGGGAAGCAACTTTAATACAATACACATTACGAGCAAAGAATATAAATGCATAAAAACATAAAGCCTCTAAGAACAATTCTAAAATATTTGCATAATAGCAGTTTATGAATATTCTAAAAGAAATTCTTTTCTTTTTCTAAAAAAAATTACTTCTCTTTATACTTTGGGAGTTCCAACTATCCTGACTTAATTCTGTCTCAGTCACCGTGTGATCGGCACGGGTTCGATCCCAACCTAATCGAATAGGCCCAATCCACAAAGTGCCACTCGCTTCATGGTTCTCAGCGCTCATGTATCATAGCTTAGCATGGCTAAGTAAATTCTCAGCAACGCGACCCTCGGCTCATGTGCTCCCTACTTTGGCACAAGTAGTTTCAGGAAGTCAACGCCTTGGTTAGGACCCTCGGCCTAGACGATGACCTCTTCTTAGAATAAAGGATACTCCAAAAAATCTTTTCTTTCTAAAACTTCTTCTTGTGACTTTTCAAGTCTAAATCTTTTACACATAATCATACCGGTATCCTTAAATGTAAGGCATGGCATAAGAATGAAATATACATTCAAAAGTATTTATAAAGATTCTTGCTCCTTCATGAATTTTCAACATGAAAATGGCATATAAGAATAATACAAAAATCAGAGAATTTATGCACATATATCAAAATAATCATCTAAACTTTAGCTAGAAAATAATTCTAAGCTAATAGGTTCTTACTCGCTCCAATTAAGTATATATCAACTCTTTTATGCAATTCATCAAACACTTTGTATGCGTGCTTTTGTGAGTTAAACAACTTTAGTAAAGGGTTATATCAACTCACCTCAAAACTTCTCGAGCCTATACGTAGGCCCCAGTCCAATTGACACCAGTCAAACAACAGATTCTACAACAACCATTGCATTTTAATTAATTTCAAAGTTTCACACCTAAACATGGAATTTATTGTTGATATAGAGAAAGAAGTGAATTAACTATTCAATTCTTACCTACTAAAACTGTAGGATAATTGACAATAGGGAATTTATATACCCGAGTTTAAGAATTAGTGATTTGTAAAGAACCCTAGAATTTTTTTTGTTGCCTGCATGCCTTGCGTTTGCTGCGTGAATGGAACAGTGTTTTGTTTCTTTTTCCCGTATAAGAATTGCGTGAATGAATAGAAGGGTTAAGTCTTCTGTTTTGTTCGTATAAGAATTCTCAGCCTTCAGGCTTTGTTCTTTAAGTTTAAGTCTTCTGACTTGATTAAGGCTTTTTAAGCCTTTTGTCTTTTGCCTTTTGAAAAGGCAGATACGTCTTTTTTTGTTTTGTTTGTATAAGGCTTTAAGCCTTTGTTTACAACAGCCACTTTATGGGCTTTAGGTTAATTTTTTTTTGACTTAACTAATAATTAGTGATACTCACTTTTTGATAATTAATAATATTAAAAATTATTAATATTTTTTCTAATTGTATGTCCAATTATTTATAAATAGAAAAGTAATTCAAAATCAATCACAAGGATTTAAATCTGTAATAAAAGTATAATTTAAGATTATAAAAATTAAATTCTATATTTAGCGTGTCTTGAGACTTTTATAAATTTGAGGAGTGTTACACTGCAGACCTGGTCCTCTTTGCCAGGGTAGATGGTTCAACAGACTTGGGTACAGATGTAGACTTCTTAGAAGAAGTCTTGGCTTTCTTGGGCTTGGGGGTCTGAACCTCCACCTCAGCAGTCACTTTTTCACCTTAATGGACCAGGTCCATCTCATCCACATCAACAGCCTCAACAGGCTCTCCCACTTTTTCTTTCCTTTTATCCATCCTTTTCTTCTTACTTTCTTCTAAGGCTTTATGCAACTCCTCCTTACTTTGCTTCAGCTTGCTCCTCGTGGCTCTTCCTCTTGGGAGAGAAATTTCAGTAGTGTTAGAAGGAGCAGCATCCCTTTTCTTGTTGGCTCTTGCTGTGCCAGGGGTTTTTTGTTTTAGGAGTTCTCTTTTTCTTGGGTTATATCTGTCACCTACCTTTTTTAAAAGACCTGCTAGGGTTTATTCAACGGATGAACCAGGTTCATTTGTATGCTTACCAAGATTAACCAGCCCTTCAGCGGCTTCTCCTGATCCACTTCCCCCTATTTTCTTGCCACTTTCCTCCACCTTTTCTGACTCTACTCCACAGATAGACATTCTATCAGTTTCAGAAGTAGGTGAAGAATTAGCCACTTCTTTCCCTTTTCCCTTCTCATCACTTCTCACACCCTCACTCTCTTCTTTTTTTCTCTTTTATTTTTACCTCATCTCCTTCTAGACTCAGGCGTTTCCACATCCACTACAGATCCAACTAAAACAAACCGATTCTCTAGATTTTGAACTAACACAGAAATAACCTCATTCGTAGTATTTGTTCCAGAAGTTACTTGTACAGAATCAGAAGACCCAGTTCCTTCCCCTTCAGTTGCAGACTTGAAAGAGTCGTCAAAGTTTGGGGGTTCTTGGGCTTGACTTGCTTGTAACTGTGCGGTGAGTTTCCTTGAAAGCGCACCTCTAGCCACAGTTTTTTGAGCAAGCATTTTTACTCGTCATCTCCTAGGTTGAGGTGTAGTAGAAGATGAGGAACATGGCGGGAGTGTACCAGGGTTATCTTAAGGAATAGTCATTTTTCCTTGATTCTGTGATGAAGGCGATGAGTAGGTTGAATTTTGGAAGAAGAGAGAAGAGAGAAATTTTGACTGTTTTTGGAAATTATGCGAGAATGGGAGGAATGATGATGAATGGTTTAAAAGAAGGGGGTAATTAATGAGTAACGGCAGGTTTAACAGTCAAATAGAAGTGTAATCAAACTGAAATTTCAGTTTTGAAAAGACTGTTGAGGCGTCCCTAGAATCTAGGTGAGTTAATTTGGGTGGGAGTCTTTGAACAGAATTGGTTCACTTATCGGATAAGTTCAAAAGAAATTTAGCTTAGGTAGGACTATGCTCACGATTCAAATATTATTATTTCAAAATATGCAGAGTGTAGAAAACATACCATGTTATCTTGATGAACCAGGTTCTTCACTGATAATTCTCTTGTGTAAGTCCAAATTTGCAAAAATAGAGAAAATATCATTAGAGATTAATGAGTCATTTTAATACATGGCACAAGAGTATACTATTGAAAGTATGAGACTGAGAAAGATTTAGTCTACTTATGTACAATTTACAGACTTTCTAATCAAAAACAATTTTTTTTTTCATTTTTTTTTGTTTAGCATTGAACTGGTCCTTTAGGTGATCTTAATCATCCCTAATTCTAACCTGTTCCTCTCAAAATGATCTCTACTTAAGGCTTTTGTGAAGATGTCGGCAATTTGCTTATTATTAGCACAAAACTCCACAGTGATCAAGCCTTTCTCTTAGTTGTCCCTCAAAAAATGGTGCCTAACATCATGTGCTTAGTTCTCTTATAATGAACCAGGTTCTTTGTCATCCTAATGGCACTAGTGTTATCACAAAAAATAGGGATACAACCAACATCAATTCCAAAGTCCAATAATTGCTGTTTGATCCACAGCAATTGAGCACAACATGAAGCAACAACAACATACTCAGCTTCAGCAGTAGATAAGGCCATTGAATTTTGCTTTTTAGTAGCCCATGACACAAGACATGAACCAAGAAAGTGTGCCATACCTGAGGTGCTCTTCCTGTCTACAAGGAAACCTGCTTAATCAGCATCAATATCTCCTAGGTTAAAATTACTACCTTTTGAATACCAAAGGCAAAGATCAGTGGTGCCTTTCAAGTATCTCAATATTCTCTTGACAGCAGCCAAGTGGGACTCCTTTGGATTTGCTTGAAATTAAGCACAAAGACCTGCACTAAAAATAATGTCAGGTCTGCTAGCAGTAAGATACAAAAGTGAACCAATCATTTCCCTATACAACTTCTGATCAACAGGTGAACCAGGTTCATCTATATCCAATTTTGTGGTTATTGCAATAGGAGTATCGATTTCCTTTGATTCTTCCATTTTAAACTTTTTAAGCAACTCTTTCACATATTTCTGCTGATGGATCGTAGTTCCATTTGAGTTTTGTTTAATTTGTAAGCCTAAAAAGAAATTAAGCTTACCCATCATGCTCATTTCAAATTCACTACCCATTAGTTTAGCAAATTCATTACTTAGTTTTTCAGTAGTTGCTCCAAAGATTATGTCATCAATATATATCTGTACTGCTAGAATATCTTTACCTTTTCCCTTCAAGAATAGAGTGTTAACGATTTTACCTCTCTTGTAGTCATGTTCAAGCAGAAATTTTGATAATATTTCATACCATGATCTAGGAGCCTGCTTGAGTCCATAGAGTGCCTTGTCAAGTCCATACACATGATCAGGATACTCCTTGCTTTCAAACCCTGGAGGTTGCTTGATAAACACTTCTTCCTTTAAATAGCCACTGAGGAAGGCACTCTTGACGTCCATCTGGTGAAGAGTGAATTCCATGTAAGCAGCAAAGACTATGAGGAGTCTTATTGCTTCCAACCTTGCAAAGGTCTCATCATAGTCTATGCCCTCCTCTTGGCTATATCCTTGAACCAACAATCTTGCCTTGTTCCTTGCAATAGTTCCATCTTTATCAAGTTTGTTTTTGAAGACCCATTTTGTGCCAATTACTGATCTGTCCTTGCGTCTTGGAATCAGATGCCAAACTTGACTCCTTTCAAACTGGTTGAGTTCATCTTGCATTGTATTTACCCAGTCTGCATCCTGCAAAGCCTCAGCAGCATTTCTAGGTTCAATAAGAGACAAGAAAGCATCAAAAGCACAAAGATTCTTTAATGAAGATCTTGTTTTAATTCCAGAGGTTGGATCAGTAATTATGTTTTCAATGGGATGAGAACTTTGGTATTTGTAAGGTTTGACAACCAACTGGTTTTCTCTTGATGTTTATCTAATGTTTCGCTGCTGAGGAACAGGCTCATGGAGAGGTTCCATTGAGTTATTAGATTCAGCTCCTCTTTGTTCAGTTCTCCCTGTCAGGTTGCCCGGGATAGAAGAACCTGTTCCATCACTTGTTCCTTCTTCTGGTGCAGCTTCAGCCTGGGCTGTGATTTCATTTAAACTTCTTACCAGCCCGATTGCTTCATCTTCATGTTCCTGTCTCTCAGAAATAATGTTAGTTTCATCAAAAGCCACATGTACACTTTCTTCTACACACATAGTTCTTTTTTTGTATACTTTATAAGCTTTACTATGTGAAGAATATCCCAAGAATACTCCCTCATCACTTCTGGGATCAAACTTACCTAGGGAGTCTTTTCCATTATTGTGCACATAGCACTTGCATCCAAATGCTCTAAGATGGGATATATTTGGTTTTCTCCCTTTAAGTAACTCATAGGGAGTCTTCTCTACAAGAGGTCTAGTCATGCACCTATTGATGATGTAGCATGCGGATTTACAGCTTCTGCCCAGAAACTATGGGGCATTTTACTAGAAAGAAGCATAGTCCTAGACATATCTTCAAGTGTCCTATTCTTTCTTTCAACTACTCCATTTTGTTGTGGAGTCCTAGGAGCAGAAAAATTATGATCTATGCCATGCACATCACAAAATTCAGCAAACTTAGCATTTTCAAATTCAGTTCCATGATCAGACCTAATTGATGCAAGTTGATTACCTAGTTGTTTCTGAGTTTTTCTAACAAAAGAAGTAAACATGTCAAATGCTTCATCTTTAGATGTTAAAAATAATGTCCAGGTAAACCTAGAGTAATCATCAACAAGCACCATCACATATCTTTTACCACATCTGCTTAAAGTTCTCATTGGACCACAAAGATCCATATAGACCAGTTCTATTGATTTGGTGATGCTTACCACTTTCTTGCATTTAAAAAAGGATCTTACCTGCTTCCCCCTTGCACAAGCCTCATAAACTTTGTCTTCCTTAAACTTGATGTTAGGTAGCCCTATCACCAGGTCCTTGGAGACTAATTTGTTGAGTTGACTCAGACTTGCATGTCCAAGTCTCTTGTGCCAAAGGAGGGGATCATTGTCCAACACACTTAAGCACGTGAGTTCATTTTCTAAAAGTGTGGACAGATCTACAATGTATGTATTATTTACTCTTTTTCTCTGCAAAACAATCTTGTCAGTGGTAAGATTTATCACAAAACATTTGGTAGAGGTGAACGGTACCAAGTTGCCTCTATCACACAGTTGTGATACATTGATTAGGTTGTATTTCAAGCCATCTATCAAGTAGACATTCTCAATAGAGTGAGAGTCTGTCTTACCTACCTTTCCAACCCCAATGATCTCACCTTTCTTTCCATTTCCAAAGGAGACATTACCTCCTTTGAGGTCCTCAAGTGAAAGGAACTGGTTCTTGCTTCATGTCATATGCTTTGAGCAGCCCTATCCATGTACCATATTTGGCTGCTCCCCTTCACTTGGACCTGCAAAAGGAAATCAGGGGTTAGTCTTAGGAATCCAAACTAGTTTGGGTCCCTATCTATAGGCAAAGGGGTGAATTAAATTCCTTTTGGTCCATCCTAGCAGCCTATTTTTCCCTTGAACAAATGTTTTGTTCTTTCGACTAGCCTTTTCTTTTGCAGTACTTTCACTTTTATAGTGACCAGTCTTACCACAGTACCGTGTGCAGATTTTGTTCTTAGGAAGTATGATGTACTTGCTTTTGGGATCCCACTTAGGTGTAGGGGTCCCGTAGCCAAGTCCTCTCTTATTGCTACTGTGGTGTTCTTGTAGCCATGAAAGTGCAACAGAGGCCCTATTCCATTTACCGGTTCTGTCTAGCTCGTGCTTAACCTTGCTTAGATCCTCCTTTAGGACTCTTATCTACTCATCTCTTTTGTACAACTCATCTTTTTCAGGAAATCAGGGGTTAGTCTTGGTCTGTTTTTCAGGAACCCTTGATTTGCTGTAGCTTGCACCTTTTGAGGAACCCTTTCCTCTCATAAGGTACTTCTTGAAGTCCTTTGTGATCATAGCCATTTCATCTTCTTCTAGATCAGCACCTTCAGTGATTCTGAGTGCCAGGATCCTTTCCTTCTTAGGTGCATCCATCTTCATAGTTTGCCTTCTAAGTTCATAGGCAGTGAGATTTCCAATTAGCTCGTCCAACTTAAGAGTGGCAATGTTATTTGATTCCTGAATTGCAGTGATTTTGCTTTCCCAAGTGACTGGCAGAACCCTTGTCAAAATTTTCTCAACTTTGTCTTCTTCAAGAATAACCCTTCCAAGAGACTTAAGTTCATTTGTTAGAGTGATGAACCTTGTATACATCTCTTGGATGGTTTCACCTTTCACTTGAGGTGTTCCTTCATGAGCCATTTGCAGAGTGTCCCAGATTTTCTTAGCAGTGGTACAACTTTAAATTCTACTATACTCATCTGGATCAAGTCCTCAGCATTACAGTCAGCTCTTGTTTTTGGCACATCTACTCCTTCAGCATTCTTCTTCATGGTAGCCAGGGGACCATCGGTGATAATGTCCCATAGCTCATAGCCTTCTCCGATGATGTGATCTCTCATCCTATTTTTCCACCAAGAGTAGTACTGGCCATTAAAAAGTGGAGGCCTAGCAGTGGATTGCCCTTCCCAGTTTCCAGGAGGTGCACTCATCTTGATCTATTCTTAAGGTGTTAGCCTCTTCAAGGATAATCCGCTCTGATACCAATTGATGTTTTAACTTCAGTACCATATAAGAGGGGAGGGGGGGTGATTTGTGTGGTTTCCAATTTTTCGCTTAAACTGATTATGGAAGGACCTGATTCTTCTAAGTGTTCCTTAACCTACTATTGCAGAAATGATAAATGCGGAAAGTAAAGAACACAAGTGTTTTACGTGGAAAACACCTAGCTCAAAAGGTGAAAAAACCCCGACCTACTTTCTAGTAGGATTTTCCCAAACTCTCCACTAAAATCACTGAGCCAAAAACTGCATTTACAAAAACTCTTTTGTAAACCTAGGACTAACTCTATTCCCGTTGTAGCACAAAGCCTCTAACTGTTGCGACAACTTCAAGTTAACTCTAACTTGAATACTCTGAGTACCTATTATAATTGCCTCTAGATAAAGCTGAAAGGTACAATATGAAAACACCTACTACAATTGAACTAGAATAAAAGATAGACACTTGGAACTGGTTCTTCTATCCGGTTCATGTAGCTTCAGGTTTACACGAATTGCTTGCAAAAAGCCTTGCTATTTTGCTCTCAATTCTTGTTTAACTTCTGCGTTTGTGCATTACCTGTAAAAGAGAACAACACTGATATTTATAGAGTTAGTAAATAAAGATTAACTAGAATTCTGATGCTACTCTTCCTTGGTGGAAGAGTTCTAGTTGATCTCGACCTCTAACTCGTTCCCTATCTTGACAGTGTTCTGTTTGAGTAAGGAGTCCTTCTCCTTATCAATTATGCAACCTTTTCGATCAGGTTCAGGAGATATCAATTCTGCCAAGTTAGGTTTATCTCCTTCACGTGCGTCTCACATGCTCAAATCTGTCAGTATCTGTGCTCACAAGGGATGGGCCTGGTTCATGCTTGAGTTTCTTTGTCGGTCTTCAAAACTAACCTTCACTTGGCCAACAAGACTAGATGTCATCACGACATCCTACGGAGAGAAATTGGTATCGTGACACATTCACTTATAGGAATGACATGACATTTTTAAAACTGCTACATTCGAAGTGTATATTTGATACATCATACACATATTAGTTTGGGACGATTCAATTTTTATTTTTTTAACATACTTATACTTTATGCCTAATCAAATTATGAAAGGTCAAACGAAATGGAGCTGGTAGCTAGTATATGCCATTCGCAGTTTTTTTCCGGAATCACTACTAGAAACCCGGTAAATACCAACCAAAAAAATCGACCATCTTTGATCGGTTATGGCCAATTACCGACCAAATACGCTTGGATGGTATTTTGATGGTCGTTTTAATATACCAACCAAAGTTGGTCGAAAATTACCGACCAACGTTGATCGGTAAATTAAATTCAAAAAAAAAATATTGCAAAAAAAAAACCCGACCAAAGTTGGTCGGTTTTTTAATTATCTAATCAAAAGATTCACCGTCTAGGAATCGAACTGTGTACTGTGCCAGGATCCTATTCTACCACTAGACTATTGGTGCATTTTGTTTTAAGTTTGTCTTTTTTATTTATTTATACTTTTTAATTGTATTTTCGCACGAAAATAACCGACCAAAGTTGGTCGGTTTTTCTTGATCAGTTTTTGCGGAATTTCTAGTAGTGAAACCTAGTATGTCCTACGCCCAACCTGTGAGAAATAATACAAGTAGCAGAGAGGGACGTGGGAATGCCTTTGGACCGTCCTCCATTCTTGGCCGTCAAATCACCATTGTTTGTATAACCCTTGTGCTCCCACGAGCTTTATGGGATGTATCATTACAGCATTGGCTGCTCGTTCACAAGTACAACAAGCAGACAACAACCTCCCGATTCCTTTTCTGGGACCAGATCGCAAAATTCTCTTTTTACTGATCATATCAATATATAATGCTAGCAACAACTACCTATTTATATTATGGCCGCTGAGTAAGTCAAAATTTTTTCAAGGGTATTCAAATTTGAAAGAAGTAAAAAATTTCTTGCCAAAGGGTATTTAGTATAGGTTATATACCTCTAAAAGTAATATTCTTTTTACTTATATACATAATGTAATTTTTCTAAAAAAAGTGGTCTGATCAATTCCTGTAACACACGTAGCTTCGCTCCTGAAACCAACCATAGGAGATAAACCCACTGTCCCACCAACATCATTCAACGGCTTTCATTCTTTTAGTCAGTAGTCCCTTTTTCCTCTATAAAATCCTCGACTTAATTAAGCCACCAAATGTATATATCTCTCTTTTTCGAAGGGGGAGCTCATCTAGTAACTCTAACAGATGATGTTAACAAGCTCATCGTGTCCTATACTTCATTCATGGATTCCCAACTCCCCTGGATCGTCGCCCTATTCTGCACTGGCTAGGACACGATCATGCTCCTTAACAACGTCCTTTTTTCCAGAGCATGAAACCGCGATCAAGCTTGCAACCAGCTGTTGCATGCGAGAAACAGAACCCCGAGATCCTGTAGTTAAAAAGAAAAACGACGACGGTATAACGAAGAAAAGGAGGTTGTCGGAGTCACTGCTGGTGGGTGGTGCAGCGGAAGGCGGAGGCGGAGGCGGTGGGTGGGATGGTGGAGATGGTCCAGGTTCAGGTTCGGATTCGAATAGTTGGGATGGGCATGAGAGTACAGAAGCTTGCTACAAGAAAATGATTGAAACTAACCCGGGAAATACACTTTTACTAGCTAACTATGCCAGCTTCTTAAAAGAGGTACGTAAATTTGTAATCATTCGATTCAGTCTCTTTATGACTTATGAACTAGTGCTGCTACCTTTGAATACTTGATTTAATTATTTGTTTCTGAGAATTAATATAGTGATTAATTGTGTGTTGAAACAACAGGTTAAGGGGGATATAGGAAAAGCAGAGGAGTATTACGGAAGAGCAATATTGGTAAACCCGAGAGATGGGAATGTGTTGTCACTTTATGCTGATCTAATTTGGCGAACCCAAAAAGATGCATCTCGTGCCCATGCTTATTTTGATCAAGCTGTTAAAACTAGCCCTGATGACTGGTGAGTTCTTTTTCATTCTAAAAATTCAAATATGATTGACCAATTAAAGCGGTATTAATTCAGATAATTGAGATGCTTTAATTATTTATATTTTACATTTATTATTACAGTTACGTATTGGCTTCATACGCTCGATTCCTATGGGATGCCGAGGAGGAGGAAGAAGTAAAAGAGCAAAATATACAATGTGGAATAGAGAGTGCAAATTCAGCAGCCACAAACTATTTAGGAGGAGCGCCGTCTCATCATCGGCCACCCCTGGCTGCCGCTTCTTAAAATTCATGCAAAATATATGCTTCTATCATCCTCAAAGACCAGCCTATTCTTCAAAGGAACAGTTCAGTTTTGGAAAAGTCACAAATTATATCGTAATCCACAAATTTTAACGGACGATCTTATGTTTAGGAGGTCTCAATTCAAAGTCAAAATGCAAGGATTCATGAATAGCTATGTACGTATAAGATGAAAAATTTCTTGAATGGCCAACCTGGTCCAACTTATGTACAAATAGGTTTGATGTAACTATTATAGAAGGTAGCTAATCCAATAAGTAACATGAAAGGCTCCTGCCCTTCCCTTTCAGCTTCAAGGTTAGTACTTGTATAGGGTTAAATTTGATTCATAACGCCATCACGCCAAATGGACACGTACCTTATAATAAGGGCGACCCGAGTGAGGGCACGGCCCAAGCTGGTGAAGAAGAAGTGACGTCGTTTAGTGCCTGACCTTTTTCCTGAGTAGAAGCCACCAACTTTTGTACCTTTTTAATTATTTCGAGGGAGGTCTCCTACTATATAAAGGAGACCTCCACATTGTAATGGGGGGGGGGGGGGTGATTCTCGGATAATACAATTTCCCTCTCTATCTCTCTCTCTTATCTCTTTCTTGATTTTCCAACCATTGCTTCCCTCTTAAGCTAAGTCTATTTCACTACGCACTTACAGATCTACAAACATTCTTGAAGCAATAATCATCTCTTGGGCTTATTATATTTGATTACGATTTACCCCTATATATTTTCGATTGTTTTTAAGCTTATAAAATACGAATATAATTTTTGAGCTAAACAATTTGGCGCCGTCTGTGGGGATCTCGAGAATCAAAACCATAGTATCCACCTAGAGATCAACCAACTACCATTCTCTACACCACACAAAAATAGAAAATGGCCGAAAATAACACAAGATCGAAAGCTATATTGGGTGTCACTACCAATCTCCTTGGCCCTCTCAACGAGGCCAGTGACGATGGCATCCTGAATGCAACCCCTAGCATCACACCGGGTGCAGAGATCTCACCTTCCCCATCCGAAGGTCTGACGATCTTGCACGAAAAAGGAGCTTCCACATCTGCGGCTACGGAAGCACCCTCAGCGATCAAGAAGCTACTGGAAAGATGGCTGACAAGCACTCTAAGTGGCTTGGTTGAGAGGTCACCACAATGTAACATCGGGTGTACACCAACGGTAGGTACCACTGCCGCCGTGGTTGAATCGGAAGTTGCACTAGAGAATAACAAACCCATCGAGACACAGACCAACGATGGCACGCTAACAGCCATCCTAAAGAAGATGGAAGAAATGGAAAATGAAAACAAGGCGCTCCGCGGTCAGATGAAGGAACATCAGGAGAGGGTCGACAAGATCCCCGGTGCTCCCAAGTTGCAACCAAAACGCGACGTGGGAAGGTTCGTTGAACAACCATACACTGAAGAAGCTGCCCCTCACTCCACCCCAAAAACCTTCAAGATGCCACCCTACTTGAGGGTATATGACGGAACCACAGATCCCGAGGATCATCTGATCCACTACGTCACCGCTGTGAAGGGCAACGACCTATCAAAAGAACAGGTACCGTCGGTACTGCTGAAGAAGTTTGGCGAGATGTTGACAGGAGGGGCCTTAACATGGTACTCTCAGCTACCGGCTAAGGCAATATCAACGTTCGAGGAAATGGCGGATATTCGTCACAGCCCATGCAGGCACGAAGAAAGCGGAGGCCAGGGTCAACGACATCTTCGCCGTCGGGCAAACCACAGGAGAGGGACTCAGGGACTTCCTGGCGAGGTTTAACAGGGTAAGGATGAGTCTACCAAACGTATCGGAAGGTATGGCACTCGCCGCTTTCCAGAACGGGCTAAGCAGGGATGGTTCGAGGGCAACCAAGAAGCTGCTGAGCCGCCTCATGAAATATCTCCCTACCACATGGGAGGAAATCCACAACGCCTATTGCGCCGAGGTACGAGCGGACGAGGACGATCTTAATGGGCCGACCCAACGGCTAACAGCGATACACTCGGAAACGAGGAGAGATCGACGGAACGAAGGACGACGAGAACAACTCCCCCGCTCCAACAGAGATCGACATCAGCCATACACCAGATCCTCCCATCCGCCACCAAGGCATACAGACGCGCTACAGCGACACGTCGCCCCACTCCGAAACGAAAGAGGTACGCCCCCTTTATTAACCGCCCATAACTTTTGTGTATCTCCTTCAGAAATAGTGTACGCACTGGAGAAGCTGGGCACCAAGGTGCAGTGGCCGCAGAAGATGAAATCAGACCCTGCCACAAGGAAATCAAACGCCCTATGTGAGTTCCATCAGGAACGGGGACACAAAACCGAAGACTGCATAGGCCTACGGCAAGAGGTGGTCAGGATGCTGAACCAGGGATACCTGAGGGAGTTACTCAGTGACAAAGGGAAAATCAACTTTGCACGCGGACGAGAACAACCCCACGGGCCGCCGAAGCCACCTTCCCCAGCGCGCACGATAAACATGATCGTCGGAGGCGGCGACGAGTCAGTGATCAATCACGTCAAGTTCGCCACCACACACAGACTAAAGCGGACCATCGCCCATGAACGGTATGACGACTTCGAAGATAGTATCACCTTCGATAAGTCTGATGCCGACGGTTTGTCTTTCCCTCATTATGATGCTTTAGTTATCACTTTACGTATCGCTGATACGGATGTTAAAAGAGTCATGATCGATGACGGAAGTGGCGCCTGTATTATCCACCCAAGGGTCCTCGTACAAATGGGACTCGAGGATAGGGTAATACCGCGCTGCATAACACTAACCGGTTTTAACAATGCAGTGGAACGGACGTCCGGAGAAATAGCACTGCCCGTCTTAGCGGGAGGAGTCACGCTGGAAACAACTTTCCACGTGATGAACCAAGAAACGGCGTACAACGTCATCATAGGACGCCCGTGGATACACGCCATGCGAGCGGTCCCTTCAAGCCTCTACCAAGTGATCAAATTCCCTACCCCATGGGGAGTATTCAGTATTCGAGGCGAGCCACGCACCGCACAAGAATGCTACAAAATAGCCCAAGACTGCGCCCACACCCAACAGCTAAAGGGGGCGAGCGCGGAGGCATAGCAATTAGCCGTGTCGGGGACTAAGGTCAACCCGACAACGGACGCCATCAAAGACCCCGACGTCGTGGAAGCCTGTAAAGCAACGGTCGAAGATCTCGACCCAGTCCAATTGGACGAAACCGATCTTACGAAGAAAGCCTATATCGGGCAAGGTCTCGCCAACCCAAGTAAGTATTGTGAATTCTTAACTAACCATGCAGATTTGTTCGCCTTTTCCCATTCAGTTATGCCGGGAATCCCGCGAGACATCGCCACCCACAAGCTGAATGTTGATCCACTACATCCGCCCATGCGACAGATGAGGAGAAAATTCAACGCCGCTATCAATGAAGCGGTCAGTAAGGAAGTAGACGAGTTACTGGCCAACGGCTCCATCAGTGAATCAAAGTACCCCGAGTGGGTCGCCAATGTCGTCATGGTCAAAAAGAAAAATGGGAAGTGGAGAATGTGTGTGGATTTCACTGATCTGAACAAAGCATGCCCAAAGGATTCATTCCCACTACCCCACATCGACCAACTGATCGACGCCACTGCAGGACATGAACTACTGAGCTTCCTAGACGCCTACTCCGGCTACAATCAAATCATGATGGGCGAGGAGGACCAAGAGAAGACAACTTTCATCACCCACCAAGGGACTTACTGCTACAAGGTAATGCCTTTCGGGCTCAAGAATGCAGGGGCTACGTACCAGAGACTGGTCACCAAAATGTTCAAAGAGCAGCTCGGTAAAACTATGGAAGTCTATATCGACGACATGCTGGTAAAGTCGACAAGAAAAGAGGACCACATCTACCATCTGAAAGAAACCTTCGAGATATTGAGAAGGTACAGGATGAAACTGAACCCCGAGAAATGCGCCTTCGGCGTGGCATCAGGAAAATTCTTAGGGTTTCTCGTATCACAACAAGGTATCGAAGTCAATCCAGGTCAGATCAAGGCGATAGACGCAATACCCGAGATACTGAACAGCAAAAAGCAGGTGCAAAAGCTGACGGGTCGAATAGCCGCCTTGTCTAGGTTCATCTCACGGTCCTCCGACAGATGCCATAAGTTTTTCAATGTGATGAGAAAGGACAATGGGTTACAGTGGAATGAGGAATGCGTCGAGGCCTTAAGAAAATTGAAAGCGTACCTATCTTCGCCGCGACTGCTGGCCAAAGCAAATCCAGGCGAGCCCCTGCTGGTATATTTAGCCGTATCCGAGGTCGCCGTCAGCGCAGTCCTAGTTCGCGAAAACGAAGGTACACAATCTCCTATTTACTATATTAGCAAAACCTTAGTGGACGCCGAAACACGGTATCCACACCTTGAAAAATTAGCTTTGGCATTGGTCGTAGCTTCACGGAAGCTCCGACCCTATTTCCAATGCCACCCCATAAAAGTAATGACGACCTTCCCCTTAAGAAGTATCCTACACAAGCCTGAGTTATCAGGCAAGCTCGCCAGATGGGCCATAGAGCTCAGTGAGCACGATATCTCAAATCATCCAAGAAATGCCATCAAGTCGCAAGTACTTGCCGACTTCATAGCCGACTTCAGCGCAGAGATACTACCAGAGGCGGAAGTAGAGGCACGCCGTGCCCCCTCCAACGCCGACCTATGGACTCTTTACACTGATGGTGCCGCTAACGCCTCGGGATCGGGACTGGGACTCGTTCTCGAGGTCCCCACGGGCGAAACAATTCGCCAGTCCATATGATGCCCCGAGATGACTAACAACGAAGCCGAGTACGAGGCTGTTATTGCAGGTTTGAAACTAGCCATCAAGTACCGAGCTCGACGACTCGTTCTCCATTGCGACTCTCAACTCGTGGTGAACCAGGTCACCGGGACTTACCAAATCAAGGAGCAGAGGTTACAAAAATACCAGTCAGAAATCCACAGGTTAATGACCGAGTTCGACGAGTGCCACTTCGAACAAGTTCCGAGAGCACAGAACGTTGAAGCAGACGGCCTAGCAAAATTGGCCGCAGCCACTAAAAACTTCAACAAAGAAAGCGTGGTCACCCTCCTCCATTCAGCCATTGATCACACTGGGGTACTCTCTTTAAATTTGACTTGGGACTGGCGCAACCAATTTGT